CGTACTTCTAAAACGCTTGAAGCATGCCTTCCGTCTATCACAACATGATCGATTTGGTTTCTCGTTTTTCGATCTGGAGACAGCCATGTAGCTTGGTGGATGTTCTAATGCTGGAACCTAGTACAACATATTACCATGTTTCGGGCCCGGCGTCCGTTATCGGACGTTTCGTCGTGGAGGCTGAATTTTCCGACAGTGGCGCCAAAGATCCCTTCCTTGACCACCTTGGCAATAAAATCGCCAAGCACTATTTTGACAACGTGTCGGGGGCAGCGCTCATATGTACGTTCCAAGCGCTCATAGAAAAGATCCTTGGACGCCTCTTCCTTCTCTTTCGTCGGGCATGGGCGCAGATAAGCGAGATGTTGAAGAATATAGCTTTGATGCGGATTGTGGCCAGACGTTCCGTACTCGGCGACGGAGTCTCTCTCCTACCACAAATCCAATACCGAATTTGCGCTCCTTTACGTGGCACCTGTAGTAGACGTCGCAAGGCTTTACGCTTACTTTTCCTTGCCCCGTCCATCGCATTTCTTGGATGGCGGTGATGTAAGCCTTTGGCTTCCCGAGGACATCAACCAGCCGGGCAGGTACCTTCCCCATTAAGGGTCCGGATATACATACCCTTAAATCATAGTCTTTTATAGTTTGCCGTGGTCGTTATAAAAAAAAGGCTGTTTGTTCTTTTTCCTTGGGCGGGGTTTTAACGTGGCGGGACCCAAACCCAGCGCACGCGAAGTTTCATGCCATCTCACTCAACGGGTGTTTGGCTGCTACCAGGGGATACGTAGATATAAATATTCGGACGTTGTGAGTTGCGATTTGAACCGTACGCACAAGGATCGCTTCCGACCACTCCCAGGTGAATGGCAGTCAAAAGTTTTCCACTTTTGCGTACGGAACCTCCTGCATTACCACAAATTTAACTTTCCGTTATATTGTTCCACTTTTGCTCTTCAGTGTATATCTGAACATATGTACAGTGACGAACAAGAGTAATGGCACAGTGAATTTTTTTCAAAAATTATCGAAAATAAATTAGAATAAAAAACTTTGCATATATTGCGAAAAATTCACTGTGCCGCTGTATGCATGTATATTATGTATTAATAGGATAACATAAACAGATGACGGAAGTTTTTAAGGTTTCAAATTTGGCTGAAAATTACGATTGCAATCGCTGTGACATATTTGTGTGTAGTTGTTGTCCAAGCTCTTCAATTTGTGAATGCGAAGACTAATACCAAGGTGAATACGTATGTGAAGACACCGACTAAAACGAAATCGTAAAAACCTTCGGGATCCTTAAAAAACTAGAAAAGGTGGCGAATGTTAGCAGCGACTGACACTCCTTGTTACTTTTTTAACCGACTTCAAAAAAGGAAGAGGTTATCATTTCGTCGTAATATATTTTTTTTTAATGTACATAACTTTGGATCACGTGAACCGATTTCGACACATCAAGGGTGGTCCCATACTAATTTGGTTTAGATCCGATCATTGGATCATGAAGAAATTAACGGTACTTCTAAATCTTTATATGAGAATTGAAGGCAGTTGTAAGTTTTCTTAAAAATCTTTTGTAAATTATTTACATACATAGTTGATATTCTGGCAGGGTACATGCATGTATAAACACATAAGCATGTGTTTATATACTTACATATATGTATGTACCATTGATGTTCGCATCAGCAGTAAATGCAGTTCCAACCGAGCAGCTAAACTTCCTATAGCACGAATGACGCAGCGAACAACTTAACCAAAACAATTGCCCACCGGCAAATATGGTGGTATGCGTGCTATAGTGGCGTTGTTGGAATGGGAACAAAGCGGGATATGAATGCTGAAAGAGAAAGAAAAAATGGAACAGGGCACAACAGCGTATGCACATATGTATATATATACATAAACCCAGTGTTGCCGTTTTACCCTTTTGATGGCTAGATTTAGCTACCACATACACATACTTTTTTGGCCACATAAATTTAAAATTGCCCTTTTTTTAACCCTTTTGAGAATTTATTCATACTTTATTCATTATTTCATTCTTATTAATTTTTTTCCATTTATGTAAGAGATGAATTTTTAAACTAAGAAAGGCTAATATATATATTTACATATATGTATTGTATGTTCCTTACGTTTTTATACATACATACTGTAAAAGTGTTAGGGCTGTTAACTTATCTATTAACGATTTAAATATAGTTTAAAATATATAAGTTTACGGCCTTTAATATTATCAAGTCGATTGACCGTGTATGTTCTTGTGGTGTGATTGTACCAGCCGCTGGTGCGATTTCAATAACTATTTTAAAATTGTATGATTGTACCAGCATGCTGGTGTCGTGAGTGGTGAAATTAGCTCAATTTTCTAAGTAAGAAGTATTTTGGTGGAAATTTCTTGCACTATATGTGTCAAAGCCGTGTTTAATGAAGATTAAGCTCACGATATTACAGTTTAGAATTGAAAAAAAACAATTTTTAACAAAATGGTAGAAAAATTATGAAACTTCGGCTCTAACCATTTCGATCTTTCCTCGACCTCATTTGTAAAGAAATAAATATTGTACCAGCATACTGGTAAGTTATATGTTCGAGTCTGATGGTACAATCACTTGATGGAGCCAGCAAGCTGGTGTCGTACCTATATTCCCCCTATTATACAAAAAGGTGGTTGGATAAAATATTAGCTTTTTTCCCCAGAGTTCATTGTTTTTCTATACCATTACTTATTGAAAACATAGGAAGTAAATATATATGAAGACACAACAGGTTATTATTATAGCGAGTGTGAACTCGAGGAGCATGCTCAAATATGTTTTTAGACTGGATGAAAAGAGAAGGCACGCTCCAGATGTTCACACTCGCTACAGTTATAACCTGTTGTTTCTTCTTATAGATTAACGCTCTTTGTTGAAAACGTTTGCGTGTATACTTATATATGTGTATATAAGTAAACAATTTTAGCTAGCACCTTTAGCTACAACGACTTTTTTTAGCTCTTTTTTAGCCACTTTTTTTAAGGAATTTGGCTACCACTAAAAAGATTCGCGGCAACACTGATAATAACGTACATACATATTTATACTTACGTACATACATATATGTATATAAAAAAATTGGAGAGATGATAAAATAACAGTGGTTAGTTTTGCAGCTTGCAATGGACAAACTACCAGTGATCGGACTTCTACCACATTGTGATAAATCTACAACTTTTTTGAGCATCTATCACACAAGGTTTGAAATCTATCACATATTCGCGTTTTTGAGTAGTTCTATTTTTGCTCGACAAAATTTTGTGTTTGTTTATTGAGTCTATGATTTAGAAATATTACAGACTAGAGAAATCTACATTAAGAGAAATAAACAACACAACAAGAAAAGATTTCCTCGTTGGAAAGTGCCACGCTTTTGCCCCTCGTTCATCATCAGGGCATAATGATCCGCTTCTCTATCGGAATTCGAGAAGGCAGACTATACACCCCGCAAACACAGTATCTTACGTTAGATAAATATTTTGATTTTACATTAGAATTTTAATGTTGTTCTCGAATCAAAAATCTGGTTAAACCACTATGTAAGAATTCGAGTTGAGTATGATTATAAACACGCTGGATATTAGAAACCAATTAGAATTCAAAGTTGAAGTACGATTAAATAATTTAACCTCTTTCTCGATATTGAGAAGTAAGTCCCCTTTTTAATGAGAGTTTCTCTAATCGTGTTCTAAAATACTACCTTAGAGAAACACATTAGAATTCGATTCGTTTTCTAATCGTTCTCTATCCTAAATCTTTGTAGGGACAGCACTCTTTTTGAGACATATCTTTTAACTTTTGACAAAACAACTTCTCTCGAGTTAGGTCATTTTCGGTTCAAAGCAGTAATTTATTGAGTTCTCGAATGGTATTTTTATGTTCAGCTATTAATGGGAGTAGGTCAAGTTGCTATCTTAATGAAAGTTAAATAAGAATGCCAAATTTTTAACTGACTTCGTCGAAATATATTTTTTGTTTATTTATGGCACCGCATAACTTTGGTCAAAGTTAACCGATTTCTATTATTCTCTTATTTAATAAGAAAGGTGGTACCTCACATGTGGTCCCATTCTAATTTGGTTTAAATCCGATCACTGGATCATGAAGAGATTAACGATAATCTAAAATTTTTTTACGAGAATTGAAAACTAAACGTTTTTTGCTTTAAAAATTACTCGTTAAATGGAAGTTCCTTATAATTTACTCTAAATTCCCACCTACAGAAAGCAAAGAGGCTGTTTCGTGAAAAGTCCACAGATACATAAAATAGATCAAGTAAATAATAAACATCTCAGCTAATCTGAAAAAACCTACTGTGCACCGAGTCTACATACACGGCAAGTATTGCTGTTAAAACTAGAACAAGAACAAATGCTCAACAAAAACGTAATAAACTCCAGCGTACTACATACAACACACATCATCACAAACCCATCCACTCGCAAAAGTGGAACGGAATTGCAAAAGTATGTAATCAAATCAACGTTTCTAATGTTTCAGAACCCACCAATACGCAGCAACATGTTGCACGGTAGGGATGCAACGAAGGGAACAAGTCCGTCTTAGCACAGTGGGATACATACATACATACATATGTATCTACATATGTATGTAAGTATGTAAATAGATGACATTTGCAAAGAAAAGTGAGAACATAAAACAAACGTCCGTAGATGCACTCAATTGTGCACAGATAATTGTACATATATGGCTTGGTATATCTTGTTGTTGTTGTTATATCTTCGAAATGGAAACATATCGATGCAACAAGGGAAGCAACGAATGAGGAACGAGGGCAACACTGCGCAGCGTGCAACATGCAACATGTTGCGGCTGTTTTCGTCGTCCTCAGGTTGCCTATGTGTGTATGTGGTTGTGGGATGTTTCATCGTAGTCGACACGGTGTGGCACTTGGAACAGGGGTTGATTTTGGCGTGGAGCCGTTCGCTGCGAACAGTTGTAGTGTATCCTTCGAAGGGGTGAAAAGTTGTTTTTCACACACTTTTGCACCGTACAAACGAAGCGGCCCGTCGTTTTTTGAATTTGAATTTTTTAACAACAAATGCCGCCGTTCATTCTCCTCACTCTCTCTCGCACACACACACACAAACGAAAACAAATAATTTGCTCATCTACTATTTTTATAAAACAAAAAATACAAATAAATCTAAAGTGCTAAAACAAATAATAAATAAATTCATTTAACAGTTGTGGGTGCGTTTTTGTGTTGAATGTTTTATGCCGAAAATTTTGTGCAGTGTTACTCACTAAAACGAAAAAAGGCAAAATCAAACAAAAAATATTGGAAATGAAGAAGAAATACATATAAAACTAAAAATTTGTGAAAATTTTGTGGAAGTGCATTTTATTTTGAGTTTTGGGGAAATTCAAAAACAAAAACTGAAAGTGAACGTCGTTTGTGTAAAATAACGCGCGAGCAAATAAATAATCGAAGGATAACACGTCGAAATCAAAAGTGCAAAGCAGCAAAAACTGCCAAAGTTTTGTATTTTATTTGAATGTATACATAGTACAGTTTAAAAATATTTTAAAATCGAAAAAAAAAATCAAAGAGTGTTTAAAATAATAAAGAAAGGGTTAAGTCTCCCCCTCCCCTTCGTTTATGTTGAAAGTTTTGTTCGGTTATTTAATAAAAAAGTTCCAACACATTTCCGACAAAAATTCTTTATACATAAATTGTATGGCGCTGGATAATGATAATTGTACAACGCTGCCAGTAAATGGATAAATACAGGTTTGTTCAGATATTTTGTGAATCAACTGAAATATATATATGTATATGAAAAATACGTACATACATAGTTAAAACATTCCTAGGTGTATATTGTTATTGTGACTAGTGTGGCATTGGCAAATTGGAAAACATGCAAAACGCATAGATTTCTATCTTCACAGAATACATTTCTATCTTATGCAGAAGTGACCTAAATAATGACGTTGCAAATTTCGGTCATCAATACACGACGACATTTATTGGCGCCATTATTCGTACTCGTACAATTCTAAGGAGATACCAAATTTTTGGTTATCGAGAATGTTTTGGTTTTCACAAATTTTCTCAATTCGATTTTAAGTCGCAATCGTAAGATTTTGGTTTAGCTGTAGTCAAAGTGAATTCGAGAAGTTTACCCAAAATCGACAACCGGAATAGGCGCCTTTATGTTTTAAGAGAAAAACCAAAAACTGATATTTACATATTAGAGCTGAGACTACTCGTATATTCGGATATCCGAATATCTGTTCGGATATTCAGGTATATCTATGTATATAATGCGGATTTCCGGTTAATACTCGTTCATTTTGTTATCCGGATAATCGATTAATATCCAGGCATTGTAAACAGCACTGGAACCGATTCGTTAAATTGTTATCAAATATACTGAATCCATGGGGTTACAAAATAAATAACAGAACATTTCATTAATACACATACAACTTTTGTTTTATTGTTAATTTTTAGATTTGAATATGCGATTAGTCAAACAATCCGGATATAACTCAAAGCTTTACTACATACTTATAGCGTTTTCTTTTCTCGAAATAATGTTACATTTATTCTGCCCTGCGCCAGGGCTTTCAAGTTTTCGTGTTCTTTTCTAAGCATCTGCACATGCATATTGCGTGCTCTTTCTTTAAAATGTTGCACTCTAATAATGTTGCCATATTAGAAGGTGACATTTTTTTCGAGAAAAGAAAACATCATTAGAAATACTTATGAGCGACTTTACACACAAGCCTTCACGGCAGGAAACTCTCTAAGTAATAGTTAATTTCGGCCAAGTCTTACCTGCAATTTATGCCTATTGGAAAAAGCAGATTAGCGAAGGGGGTAATTGCTCATATTAAGTAAAAGCAAACGGAAGGAAAAAGCAAAAATTAAGAAATTTATCTTGCCGATCAACTTCGTTAAAATTATTGTAACTTATCTGAGCTCCCAACTGCAGTTACGCGTTTGTTGGAAATGGGCTATAAGCAATGCCTTTATTCCGCATTGCACCGATATAATACATTGAGATTTTTCTGGAAAGGATCAAAACAGGCTACAAAACGGAAAAACTGTAACCAAAAACCATATTTTGGGCCTGAAATTTTTTTTTTTTGCTAAAAGCCCAGTTAGTCTTCTAGGCATGGTTTTCGTAACCTAACTTAATAGTATTTTGGCCAACCAGTTGTATGAGAAATTGTTTTGGCGATTAGTTAAAACTTAACTTACCGTAAGAAACTTAAGAACCTGTAGAGTTTAGATTCTTAAGCTACGTTCTTAAGAAAATTGAGAGCGGTGAAAGAATCAGGCTTGCCAGATTTTAGTTTTCTGAATTTCTTAAAAATAAATAAACGCAAAGATTTTTTTGCATGCATTTAGTTGATTTCGCTTTTTAGGCGGCCAACTGAGAAACAGCTGAAAAAGTAAATACAGAAGAAACTAGTCTCGATTCTGGCTTAATTTGGCATGTTGAGTAATCATTGACGATTTCTCACGATAATTTAGATTAAGTTAAGTAAGTCCCATTGAAAACGAAACGATACTAGCGATGGAGCATAACGTAAACTATCGAAACTATCTAAGTGTTTGGCCGAGCTTCTCCTCCAATTTTTGGTGTGCGTCTTGATGTTGTTACACCCCCGCCTCCGAATGGAAAATGGATTTAATGGCAAAAATACAATCGGAGGTTTGTCATTGCCTTCCGATGGGCGATCACTGTTAGAAAAGACGTTTTCTAATTTAGATGTTACTCGGACTAGGGATCGAACCTAAGTCCTGCGGAGTTGTAGAACGCACCTCTAACCAAACTACATATTTATAAACTTACATGAAAGAATATGAACTGCACTGTGTACTTAAATACATATCGTCGTTTAAAGTACAAAACCGCGTATCAACAAAATGCAAAACCGCGTATGTAAGGTTCCATAATTTTTTTTCTAGAATGTAGAGCAGTGATTCCCAAAGTGGTCCAGGTGGACCCCGGGGATCTACGTTGGCGTGAAAAAAATATGGGAGTCCACGAGTTGTAAGTGGTGGTCCACGAAAATTTATCGAAAGTAAAGAACAAAAATGCTTCCTTGATATCCTCTTTATTTAACTTTAATTTTTTTGGGTAATGGGTAGCGCTCCTGTCGCACTGCTGCACTTACCGTCACTTTCTGTCTTCATACGTGGGGAAGCCTTAAAGACCACCTTGAGACTAAAAATAAACAGATATTCTTATAACACTGAGGGGGCGAGGCGAAAATTGCTGCGTCGGAGATTTGAGCACTTGTGTCTTTTCAATGCTATAGCATAGTACGCCACCATTACCCTTGTTGAAGAGATTATATAATGATGAGTTCCCTGAGGCTGAATGCCGGTTCAATTCCATCACTGAGACCTGACTCATACATTGTCGAATTTTCACTGTTAACTCCCAAACTTACTCTGGGTCATGATCTGGGGTCTTTTTCGAAGTTAATGGGGATAAGCTACACCTTTATCTTGGGAAAAACTCCACATTCTTCCAGGCTGTGGTATTTGCAATCTGCAAAGCCATCGACAACGTCTTGGAAAATAGGTAGAGGGGAAGGAGTTTACATAGCTGAAGTGACAGCCAGGCTGCAATTAAGGCATTGGCCAGCCCTTCCAAACTAGTTCGGCAATGCAAGTCTCGACTTGTGTCACTCGGTAGTACCTGGTAATGAGACATCTAACCATTTCGCCATAACTGGCACCACGCATTCGCATCACTTTAAAACTCGGAGCGATAAAAATAAAAATGATTCCATCACCACAAATAAACTACTTTACGAATACACCACATGCAAATTCATCAGTGAGTCAAACATGTGAGGAGGTTATGGTAAAGAAAATGTAAATAAAGCTAGCCCTCGGAGTTCTCTTAAAAAATATAACTTCTCAGAGGGAGAGAGTACTTAGATCGCTTTACGAGCTCTGTTGTTTTAAAACTTGAAACTTGTTTTAATAAATAGAACATAAGAAAGAAATGCGAAATTCCATCTACTGCTAGAAACACAAAATAAAAAACAGAACTTTTGCAACGATTCGTATAAATAAAAAAGGTTTTCCGTACGATTCCAAGGCAGTTAAAAAATTCGTATAATTCTCGGCACGAAATTGATACCATAAATTTTGTGTTTCTGGCTCAGCTTTCGTCACTCGAAAATTTTACCTCAAGGAGGTGTTTTATTTGATATATAGTATACACATATGTATGTAGGTATGTTCATTCATACATGATTTCAGAGAATAAAAAATACTGCAAAAAGGCATATCATAATTTCCACAAAATAAAACTATTTTTAATTAGACAAAGGTATTTATTTAATCATGCAAAAATAAACAATGTGGCGAATTTAAACTAAAAAACACATCCACATAAACATAGTAACACAATAACACGAAAAGCAGCTGCCGGCAAAATTCGTTTTCAGCCGTAACACAAACACATGCAAATAAAAAGGCGCAATCTATTCGTCCATGCCGCAGTTGAATCAACAATCAAAGTCACATTTCAAGAGAGAAAAAGATAAAACAAAACGGAGAAGAATAAAATTAAAAAAAAAACCGATAAACTAAAAAAACCCAAAGCTTGAGTACTGTGTACAAGTAAAGAGGCCTCTTAAGGAACGAGGGGCTGTTCGCATGCGTTGGCGCAGTTCGCCAAAAAAATATACATATGTATTTATGTACATATAAACAGTTGAAGAATGACACAAAGCAAACGACAGAATTGTAGCTCAACAAAAAAAAAAAAAAAAACAATAAAAAAACCTTAAACGTAAATCAAAAAAGCAATAAGAAACAATAAAAGTACTTTGTGTTGAAAAAAGCGCATAACAGAAAAAGTAAAAAGCGGAACAGATTGTAGTGCCATAGCGTTCTGGACACAGGAAGAGGAAAATGAAAACAAACTGTTTTGAAGCCAAAGCTAAACGAAAATGAAGGCGAAAGACATGCCAAATGAAATAAAGAAAGCATCATCAACATGAAATAACTGCAACTGGAAGATAATCAAACAATTTGCTACCGTTTCTTGGATAAATGTGAGCTTGCGCCGGTTGCCTTCTTGTTAATGACGTTGATGACAAAGAACAAGGAGCACAAGAACAAGAAAACGACGACGATAACGAGAAAAATTGTACTGAGTGACGTGTAGTTGCCCATCATAAAGGCAATAATAAAATCGAGTAACCGCAATGACTCCGTAAAAAAGCTGCACAACAAAATTTTATACACGAAAACAACAGTAAATGACGTTGCTGACAGTAAAAAATCAACTACATGCATACATAAATACATATAATTATCTTAAATGCAAAAGGCCGTAACTTACTAAAAACCAAAAATTCTTTTTTTGATTGATTAAGATGTATTTCATCGAATCACAAGTACCCCTACATCGTTTTATGCAAAAAAAATAATCTTAGTTACGGCTTTTGTATTTCAGGTGACAATATGTTTATTATTATTATTCTTTTTACGAGGAGGAAGCATGTTGCCCGTCACTGTGGGACTTTAACCGGAAGTAAACCTCCTAGCGTCCAGTACCGATCCCCAGGTACTACCGTTAAGTATTTCGTCAGGAGGTGGGTTGAGCACTAAGCTCTAATTTCGTCCTGTCCTTATGCAGTTCTTTGAAAGTTCTTTAATATGACCCCATGTCGAACCTGTCGCCCCTTCCCCTCTCATTTGTAAATGTTTCCTCGAGCATACGTTCCTAGTCATAGCGTCGTTCGTTTCGCCTTAACTCTGCTTACCTTACTGCTTGGCTTCTACGCACCTTTCTGCACGCCTTAGCTCCCGTTGAATCTACAGCTTCACCCATTTTTCAATACTAGGGATGAGGATATATGTCCATCTTCCATTTGTTGAGTTTTCCCAACGCTCCTGCCATTCTCTCATCGATGCACCCTTTACCAGTGCAGTAATTGCCAAAGCATCAGAATTGTCTTGCTTTCTTCTGTGGTAAACGCTCGCTCTTTCATACCTGCAATGACCATTGCTGCATCGTCTGACGTCGTCTTATACGCACATATTACTCTAATACCGAGTAGATTGCACATACATACATGTGTCAGCATTGGTGTACCCCGATCCTAAGGCCTGTGGAGCCTTTCCACGTAAGTATGTATTTTGGAGTCTAGCGAGTCCATGGGCGTATACCCAATCGACCGAAGAATTTGGCTCTTTCAACACATATGTATAGCGTATAGTCCGGCAACAAGCTGGCAATTTAGAGTCATCATATAAAGAAAGCTGAAATTTTTTCTGGTGGTTCATTTCAATCCACTATTAAACAGAGTGCTGAAGTTTTGTGAGATGATAGACGGCTTTACCAACTGATGCTAGAAACGTAGGTTTTATCCTTCCTTTCAAAACGCGTAACTGTGTCTTTAGATGAGACCTAGTTTTTGAGATAGTAACCTTCTAAACAATAAAGAGTTTCTTACTATTAATTTCTTTATTTCCATACAATAAGGTTCAATACAATGAATTAGTCTTTGCAATAATTAATTTTGTAACCAAAAATTTTACTTTCTTGCATTTTAGTCTTCATATAATTAAAATTTTCAGGCTTACATATTTTTTTACGCATATTAACAACACTGTGTGTCAAGAAAAGAGGTATAGCTGTTCCTCTGTGTGTGCAGTTACAGTTGCACGACTTTTGCGTCCTCATTCGCGCACTCTGGGTAACGTGATCAACCCATGTACGCGCACCAAAAACTACGACAATGTAAAAAAAATTACCGAAATACATATGCTTTAGTTTTAGATTCAATTATACAAATAGTTTTATAAATACACATTGGTGATGTAGTTAATAAACCAATTTTTCGCGTGTTTTGTGAACTATTTTATAATGCTGGAGCATACCTTCCTTAAGACCAATTCTCTGTAAAAACCGACAAATAGTTGTTATAAACTTAGTTGAGCGAATAAATGTTAGCTCCAACCTTAGAACACATGCAAAATTAAACGTTTTAGAGGATGTCGTGTCTTAGCTTCTGGACGGAGCCGATAATCAGGGTGATAGGTGATAAGATCAACGCAAATAAGGTCAATTGACTTTATTCTCCACCCTGGTGCGAAATAAAGTCAATTGACATTAATACCTTTTCAAACGCGAAATAAAATCCATTGACATTATTGCTCTTAATTTGTGTTTCAAAAGTGTGTAAAAACCAATCAATTAACTTACATGATCTCAGTTCCGATAATAAATAATCAATAATTTTTTATAACTGCATTTTGGCACATTGGTTTGAATGTGCCATCTAACAAATAGTGTCGTCGTTCTCCTTAGCAGCTTTAAATGGCGTCGTCACAAATTGCTGGCGGAGACATGAATACAGTGTACGAAAATTCCTTTTCTTTAATTGTTTCCTTATAGAAAGGTTGGGTTCTTTTCCACCTAAGACATTCCGAATTCGTTGAAAGTATGCTAATTTAAAACACATAATTTGTTCAGTGTTCCTCTGGGGTTTTTGAACATGGACTGTTTCTTCAATTTAATAGCGTTCGCTTTATTTTTGTGGAAACGAAACATGTTTTGCAAGTTCTGGATCTTTTCTACACTCTTTCTTCAAATATTTATCGTATTCCAGCTGCGTTTTGCGTTTAGTTTTTCGCATCGTGTCTAGTATATTCGTAATTTTATTTTATTTTAATAAAATCAATTGGTCGTAGTTCGTGATTGTGTGTGGATTAATAGCACACTGAGGATTTGGCAATAACCTTTTTCATCTATTAAAAAACAACACTTACGGGGTAATGTTTATTGTAAGAACAACATTTTTTCTATGAATCGATGTAATTTAAGCATTGTTGACGCTATTTCAATTTGAATGAGGAAATAGCGCCAATGACTTTATTTCCAAATTTTTGTTGACTTTATTTCGCTTTTGAAAAGGTAATAATGTCAATTGACTTTATTTCCCACCAGGAGTAATGCTAAATATTATGCAATAGCGGTATAAATATAACCGCTCGATAATAATCTTCGGCGCTAGATGCACGATAATTAGCCCAAAAATTTCATCTATCCGCTGTCCGAGGAAGGACAATGTCCAAATAGTATAATTCCTTAGCTATATCGGTAACTAACGCTGCAAGCATTCTTTCTACGCATTTTGCTGTTATCCCCCTACGAATGTCTGATTACACAGTTGAATGTGAAATTTTCTACATTCACCATGGAAATAGACAAAAAGTAGTATCACAAAGTTTGATTCGACATGCATACATATAGTTCTTATCATAGCTTTACAACACTCACATATAAAACAAAACCATATAAATCCAAGTTTCAATCTTTGTGCAAAATTAAAAAAGAAATCAACAAACTTTGTAAAAATTTCGAGCTTCTTAATTAGATTTTTTAGAAACATTTTGAGTATGCAGTTTTGTAGCCCAATTTCAAGTACCCTTGATTTTTGGGAATTTTTTTCGTCGAAGGTGTTGCTCATTTTCTCCATATAACAAAACAATCGGCGAAAATGTTTTGTATGGAATAAAATGGCTAACATGGTAAAAAAAATGCCAAAAATCAGTTACTTTAAACTTACAGTAAAATTGGATGGGCCAAAAAACTGCTTACTCAAAATATTTCTTAAAAATCGAATTAAAAAGTTCGAAATTTTTACGAAAGTTCGTTGATTTTTTAAAACGTTGCACAGAGATTCAAGCTTGGATTTATATGGTTTTTGTTAAAGATTATACTATATTTTTATAAACAAATTATGACAATTAAAATATATTAAGACAAATGCCCAAATCTTGTCAAAATGTAAATGCCGTAAAGTTATGACAACAACAATTTTAAATGTTATGACTTCTTGTTTTGCCGTGATGCAATATAGCTTGTAAATGTTTACAAAGTTTCCTAACGAAAACCAAGAATAATTTTCAAGGTTTGATATTTTCATTTCATTTTCTGTAATAAATTTTATAACCTTTCCTTTTGTCCTAATCCTAACCTAACCTAATCCTTTTGTATAAAAAAATAATACTTTATTATGGATATTATTATGGCGACCGCTGTGGTGTAATGGTTCGCAGTGCGCGCTACCATTCTGCAAGCCCGGTTCAACCCAACATAAAAAAAAATAAAAAAGGTAGGTACTTCACCTTTGTGTGACAACATAAAGGCGCACGCCATAAATCGGAGGAGAATCTCGGCCAAACACTTTGCTCTTTGGATGAAATAATGATAATCGTACTATTAAGTTAGTGTTTTTTTTTTTAATTGAAAATCACATGTTTTAGTTATTCGCAAGAACCCTATTATCAATTGCCCAAAGCGTTTCCAAACACTGCCCGATTTCATCAATTTTCACCTTGAAATGTTTTTAATAATTTGAACTAGCTATATACTATATTCATAAGGAATTGAATTTTGTTGCTAAATATTAAGGTTTATTACACCAGAAACAAAGGGCTCAAGTTTTGTTTGAAATTAAATATTTCGGAAAGTGTATTTTTTCTTTAATCTTCTTTTACTGCCTAAGTAGATGCTCCACTTTTATATCAAATTTGCCGATGCTTATACATATAGCTACATACATATGTATGTATGTATGTATATATCTAAAGTGCCGTGGAATTGATGAGAGTAAGGGTAGCGTTTAAATTGAGAAAGAAATCTCCTTCCTTTTGATTTGCTTTTCCAATTAAAGGAACAGCACACCGAAATTACTTATATACCAATTGGTTTTGCAATTTTACTGTCGGCAACAAAAATGAAAGCAGCGAGAGGAGAAGTTCAAGTTCAACTCCATTAGATAATTCCATGTGTTATCTATGTACATATGTATAATTCGAGCGCATATGGTAATGTTGATCATTTTCTTGTAAACACATTAGAGAAAATCCAAAGTTCCCAACATGTATACCTACCTACACATAAATATAAAAAAGTTGTTACCCATCTTAAAAAAAGGCAAACCCTCCACATAAATTCAGTGATAGGCAACTCAAACTTCTTCCCGCTCTAATATGTATCTTGTAAGTTGCATCCAAAATTCATATTTTAAGGCCTCTTCAGCAACATCTTTTGGATCTTCGGCAGTATTTACACATTTACATATTCATACATATGTACATACGACCGTGCCATGGGCAACCGTGCCAAGAATGCGACTAGTCCGGGCTGACTCCGGGAGCAGTCGCAAAGGAGCATGTGATGAAAGGCGCTTCTAAGAAATCAAAACAAAAACTTGCACCAGCTGCGATTTGAACCGGGGTACTCAAGTTTACTAAGCGAATACTATCTCTACATACCAACACTAAATCCTTAATTGTACCCGTTAGT